CTCTTTATATATTCTGTTAACTCAGTGTCCCCCGGTTTGTTATGCTCTAATAGGAGAGTTTTTGAGATTTTGCAATATCTGAGATATATGCTACAATCTAATTAACCGGGAGGAATGTTGTAAAATTGCCTTTTGTAAGCCAAATTATTGTACCCTATTTCGCGGACGCGTAAGTTCATACATGTCTTGGATGCGCTTACACGTCCGTCCGTCGCCAACCTCTCAAAGACGGGCCTATAAGAGTCCCGGACACGGGCCGTCACCTCATTCTGGATTCTGATGAGCTGTTGACACACACACTTACTCCAGGATCGCTTAGTTTCCCGAATCATGGACTCCCGGCTCACCTCAAGACCCGGGAGTTAGCATGTTAGCTGAGCATCTTCAGCTATGCTGAGCTTAGCTGAAGGACAAGTAGAGATAATATAAGGTTAGTTTAGTGTTTAGTCGGTGTCTTGTCTTTCCTTCTCCATTTCATACATTTCACCGCATCGTAAGTAAAAGTACGGTGGTAACTCCGCCATCATTCATCTGTTATTATTCTACTCACCACCCGTTTTTACTTCAACATTGTGATTGCAGCCATGCCCATGTCTACAATTTACTAGTCTTACTAGCCTTAACTTCTTAAGTTAAGGGCTAGGTGATAAATAATGATACAGATAGCCTTAAGGGCTCTCTCAAAATGTTTTTTTAATTATATTATTCGAGAGAGCCTCAACTGGCTCCCATACCCCTGCACGGAGAGGTATGTAAACAACATCAAAAATGTGTCCAAAATCACACTTTCCCGCACCCGACCAATATTGGACAGTGGCTTTGATAAATTGTGTGGGACTTGTGATCGTAATTAATCGCAGAATATCATAATCAGAGGTAAAAATAAAAAATTAAAAGCAATTTTCTTACCAGACCGATCAGCTTAGCTTCCTTTTCACGTGTACCGTGTGAATTTACGATCTCTACACAATGGTGATGACCTCTGACTGGCACTTCCGTAATTGTGGGTAAATTTACGGAAGTGCCAGTCAGAGGTCATCACCATTTTGTAGAGATCGTAAATTCACACGGTACACGTGAAAAGGAAGCTAAGCTGATCGGTCTGGTAAGAAAATTGCTTTTAATTTTTTATTTTTACCTCTGATTATGATATTCTGGGATTAATTACGATCACAAGTCCCACACAATTTATCAAAGCCACTGTCCAATATTGGTCGGGTGCGGGAAAGTGTGATTTTGAACACATTTTTGATGTTGTTTACATACCTCTCCGTGCAGGGGTATGGGAGCCAGTTAAGGCTCTCTCGAATAATATAATTAAAAAAACATTTCGAGAGAGCCCTTAAGGCTAGATACAGATATATGATGTTGATACCCCTGTATAAAAAGGGAGATAAACAAAAATAAAATGCGTTCGTATATTCACCCATTCTCGCAACCGACGAACATTGGATTTGGAGTTTGCTAGAGTAGACTAGAGAGTAGTCCTCTCTTTCTTCTCATAGTCATAGACCCTACAGTATTACAAGTACAAAGCACTTTAAAATCGGCTAAGAATTTAACAAAAATTATGAGAAATCGATACCAGAGTGATATCGATTTTATACTTACGGTACCTTCCATCATATGTACCTGATGATAATTAGTTAAGGTGCGATTTACATTACAAAAACGGTGACCTACATGTACATGTAATATCGTAAAGTAAGTATTGAATTTTTGAAATTTTTGACACTTGTTCTAAAGGAGCAAGATCATCTGCTAACATGGTGCAAAATCAGCCTGAAAATTCCACCTGATGGAGGTGATCAATCCATACAATTATCTGTGTAACTTACAGCTCTCTACATGTACATGCCAATTCCCTTTATTCTTCTCATACAATTTTGAAAGATTCAATGTAACTTATTCATTAAAGCTACTAAAATGTAATTTTACTTCTAACATACATGTACACACTAATTTCACAATCGTAATGCCTTTTGAAAAAACAGTTCTCAGCAATTCAGTCATTTGACTATACTGTGAATGTCAATGTTTTTCTCTTTTATAAATGTTATTGTTTTTACCGGAATAAATCATTCAATAATAATAACCTTTATTACTGGATCTACTGGCAGATGTTTTAATTTCTACAATCATCTATCGCCTGCCTGAAGCTTATCTCACTTTCTTTATCTGGCTGGTTCTTCTCAATATCATACACATTTTAATACGTGTCATATATTCACATGACTTTGAAATTTGTTTCATACCAAGTCTGCAGTCAGATCGTTAAAGAGGAAGGCCACCCGAATATTAAGTTGGTTTCAATAGAAAAGCATAAAATGAAAAGAAAAGTTCAGGTAAAATTTGAGCCAATTCCAATGAAAAATAAGGAAGTTATGATATTTTTAAAATTAAGATCAATCAAATACGAATTGGCAACACTGTGACGTATCTTGCGAGCTCCTCTCCAACTTGCTGTGTACAGAAAATTTCATAAACTTTCATTTTCTTTGTTAATGCTGGAATAAATGTATTTCTTACAGGGGTTTAAGGCTGCGACGAGTAGTCGAATACTCGAGTACTCGCACTGTTGACAACTACTTGAGTACGATTTCTCGTACTCAAATAGTCGGCCGCCATTTTTTTTTTGGCCCGCGCCTCGCACTGTCCAGGTTGACGCTTACCCGTGCCAGGGAAAGCGCCGTCCGCCGGAATGGTACCGTTGGTAAAAATGTTTCCCAGCTCAATCACTGTCAAATAACCACTCAGAAACTGGGACCAAATGTCCGTTTCTGTTTGGACTCGGGAGGAAAATGTATTATTCTGCCATCTTTGGTTTTTAAAACAGCATTGTTTACTGTGTTTATTATTATTAAATTGGCGCCTTCAACTGCAACTCAGAGTAAAATTGCATGCATTTTCAGCGAGGAACCTGGGAAACTGCCGAGTGGTATGGTAGTGGCAAAAAAAAAAAAAAAAAAAAAAAAAAAAAAAAAAAATTATAAAAAATTATAAAAAAAAACATGGCGTCCGAATATTCGAGTATTCGCCTGTAAGCCTGGGAGTGTACTCGGGTATCTCATTACACGATTATGCACAGCTTTACAGGGGTTGTATAAAAACATTCATTGTGTTTACAATAGTTATATTTAGGGCAAAAATACAGTATTGGTATGTATAATTGAAAAAATTCTTATGAGAAAACATAATTTTTTTAAAGTTTGATAGTACAGGGCAAATGGGAGTGGACCACAGAGTTGCCAATTTGTGACTGATTGATTACACCTTCAAAAGCTCATAAGTTTCTTATTTTTAATCAATTTTTGCTCAAACATTCACTGACCTGTTTCTCTCATTTTTCAGCACCTATTATTAAAAACCAACTTAATATCAAGGTGGACTTCCCCTTTGATTAAAGCCTCCCGCAGAGTTATCTCACTGAATCACTGTACACTGTAAGGTGCAGAGGATTATTGTATGAATTTTAAACAGTTATCAATGCACAACAGGAGAGGAAAATCTAGCTGTGGAAAACTTCAAAAGTGCTTTTTGGAAAAAGAAATACCAGTAGGGATAAAATTACTGCAAGAAAAAGTCATGGTTTTCAATTGGCAAGATAAGTTTGAAATTCAGGAGAATCATGATAAGTACAGGTAAGAGAAGTTTTTGCTCTGTACTGATATTTTATTATCATAGTTTTGTGGTACGTAGATCATGCAAATTTTGCAAAATGGATTTGCATTTTGTGATTAGAAATAGAATATATACTGTAACTGTGTAAGTGAAATAATGCTACATGTTGGGCTTTTCTACAGGTTGTTGGTAATAACTAATACCGTAATATTATATTTGGTTCTTGTATAGCGCTTTTATCACATTAAAGCGTCTATTTGCGCTTCCTAATAGCTTTGGAAATTAAAACCCTGGCTTTAGCATGGCTGCCATTATATAGCGTTCTAGCAATTCCAGGAATTAATTCTATTTAATTCTATTTAGTCTGTTCCATAAAGAAATTACACTGTGTCTCATATTACTTGTAGTTTGATGCTTGAGCTGCCAAATACATATAGGGATTAACAGGTTTTGACCACGTTGTGTACATGTAATTGATTTCAGATAATGAAGGGGGGAAATAAACATGCATTTTGTTTGCATGTTAAGTGTACACAACATGATTTCTTGCCAAGTTTCACAGGCACACATGTACATGTAGTCATCTAAATGTGTGTTAATGCATTTGTATAAAACTATTTTGTTGTGCTATTTTCTTCTCGATTCCCCTTCTCGATTCCCCTTAATCTATACTGAACCTTTTGCTATGCTTATAATAAAAATGTAATAATGATTTGATTATTTTGTAAAAGAACATGGACTCTAGTGCACAGTACATCAGCAATACCAGCTTTTTAAGATTAGCAGATGATAGGCAGAAATGGAGGGCCAAGACTGCCAATGTCTGTATGAATACTGACACCTGACAATGATAATAATAATAATAATAATAGCCTACACCTGTAATAGTCCACTCCAAATTTTATTAAATCGAAACGGAATGATGATGATTCTAGTGAACATTTTATTTTTTAATGTACCTGTATGTCTATTTTTGTTTTATAATGTGATTGTGGCAGTATATTTCAAATAGCAATATGTGTTTTGTACATGTACCTTCAATTTTCTCTTTTGGTGAATCATATCAATCTATTCATGTTCAAGCTCTTATTACCAATCATGTGAAAGAGTATATTTTGACTAATACATGATGATAAAAATTTTGTCGGGAAACCGCCTACTAATTGATATATTATAATATTATAAATTCGTTTATCTATTGCTGTGTGAGAGATAAACGCATGTGTCGCGCATGTGTTGCGCTCGTGTGCATAGTCCCATATACATCTTTATGTGTACAGTACTTGTAACTTTACAAAGACTGGGCCAAATTTCTTATCATTTTGATGATTCCAGAACCTTGCAGTACACACCAATACTTATATGCTACATGTACATGTAGATGATCAACCTTTTCTAATCGATTCCACCACGTTTCTTTCACAATGCAATCGCATGACCATAACTGGTCCTTATCTTTAATGCTTTCAATTCAGACATAAAGTTTTCTCGTTCAGCAAACCATGAATGAATATCAGTAATGTCAATGAGGCAGTGTCATTTTTCTCTTCTTTTTTTTTTTCTTCTTTCAAGGTTGTATTGAACAATTAATGGAGGTTGATTTCGTGAGGGACATGTTTCATTTATGAGATTGTGGCAGTGCCATCAATGGGCTGATTTACTTTTCACCTTCAATAAAGAATGTTTGTAAATTGATGTAATGTAACAATATAATCTTTCTTGTATCCCCCCAGACTTGCCCAGGGTTGTATTTAACCAGTGATGAGGCAGACTACATTATAAGCTCAGGGGCTGTGAAGCAAAGCAGACTATGTCAACAAAAACACAAACCCCTTCTTCTTTTTCTATGGTCTTTGGCAAATAACGAACAAAACACTTGGAAGTTCTGTGTGTGGATACCAGACTGCACTAGAATGTCTCTCACTCCGACGATGGAATGAGCAATCAACGATATTCAACAAGAACTTGGCTCAGTCCCGAAGAATCTCCACCCGCCTCTGTCTGTTCACTACAGTTCAACCTCCTTGAAGTTAGGATTCTTAAAGCCACACTGTCCTAATGGTAGCTACTTGCTCCCTCTACCAGTATATAGAAAACTTCCCCAATCGGTGCCTGTTGGTCCCTCATGATCCTCTTTTTCTTATGTTAATTGAGAGCTGAGTTGATGAGATAGCCACCATTCAGTGACCTCGCTGTGTGGTATAATCCCTTCCGGCTGAACTACCGGTAGTACAGCCGCCCTTTAAATCTTAAAATGGCAGGTGTTAGTTCACGAAGGATTCCAGCAGCTTCGTGCTATCTTCTGTTGACCGTCGTTTTCGCGTTCGTAGCGGTAACACCAACGAACGCAGAGAACCCTAAAGTTTACAAGGAGGCACTGAAGGTGAAGGCGAAGGGGGCTCAATGGGAGATGCCGGTCGGAGGGGCAGTGGCCAGACGCGCCCAACGAGACGGTTACTGGCTGACCAACTCCTGCGGGAAGCTGACCGCTCTGATGCAGACCAAGAAGAAGGTGATTGACAAGCTGAATCTGACCATTTACGACGTTGATCAGAATTTTCAGCTGCCCAAGGAAGAGAGGGCCTTCCAGATACATACCTTTCAGATCTTCCAGAAGGAGATCAACGAGAGTGAGAATGAGATCTTCATGGCCATTAATGGACTACAGAGGGCGCTCCAGGTATGTTACACTCCGTGCCATTGATTAGGAGAGTTTGGCCAACCCGGTTCGAGTTGGACACAATATTGGGACTACTGCTTTGTGGGGCAAGCACAAAACAAAAGAATATATGCAATGTTGTGACCCAGTGAAACCAAGTTGGCCAAACTCTGTGTATATATGGCTCTGGTTACACTCAGAACCATCTACATGTAAACACAGCGTTAGGACAACTTAATTTCAGACAGCATGGAATATATTTTTTTGTTTTGTGCTTGCCCAACAAAGCAGTAGTCGCCCTATTGTGTTCAAGTCAAACCAGGTTGGATAAACTCTTCTAATCAATAGCACCGATTGCACTTCTTTCAAACTTCAAAAGAACTATTACGTAATTAATTGCAACAATCACCACAAAATACATCCATGTTCATATGTGTTTTTTTCCCAAATAATCCTTTTTATTTGTTAATAGGCCTGTTAAAATGTCTATTACTACAATTTAGAGTAACCCTCACAGAGTTGGTGTGCATGACTAAAATAATTGCCAGCCCTCACCCCCCCCCCCCCCCCCTCCTTTCTCCTTTTTCAAGAATATTCCCAAGGTCTGCAAGGAATGCCATAAGAATGCATCATTTATGCATCCATGTACAGTGACACCTGCTTTAGCAACCACCTGTATAGAAAGAGCACCTGTCTATAAAGACCACATGATCTGTTTCCCTTGAATAGGGTTTCTCATTGAAAATTTGAAGTGTGTACTAAAAACCTTGACATAAAGACCACTTTTCTTGTCTCCTTTAAACGGTCTTTATATGCAGGTTGCACTTAATGATGATTGCATTCATAGATGCATTCTCAAGTTGAAACTCAAATGTACTATTTCACAATAGAATCCTAGAGACTTTAATCTGTTTAAGCTGTAAGTTTGAGCAAACATTCATCGCTTGCCTTGAACATATTTAGTCATACACAAAATCGAAAGATTGAAAGGAAAATCAAATATGTGATATATGTTTTCATTTGTGTTGGTACAAAATGTATGTTGTAGTAGCGGAGTACGTTGATAGTGACTTTAACCCAAAGCAGTTCAGATTTTCCTAAAGGTTTAAATGAATCGGCTTTCCTCCTCAAATTGGCTTTCTTCCTCAAATTCGCAACAAGGGTGCTTTATTTCTTTCTCCTACACGGTTTAAAAGAAGAATAGAAATTATATACATGTATACATGTACGTGTATAGATGTATAAATTAAATGAGCCAGTATGAATAACATTTACCTAAAAATCAACAAGAAATTGCCAATTTGCACATGAAAATAGTGATTATAAATTTCACTCTGCATTACCAATTCAGATAATTAAAGCCCCAGTGCACTACTTATAGCTTCTTGCGCCCTCTATACAGCCAATAATGCCTAAGCGGTGCCTGTTGATCCCCCATGATGCCCTTTTTCTTATGTTAAAGGTACTATGTCCCATATGCAGGCCAAAAAAAATGAAAAAGTTAAATTCCAACTGCATTTGAAAGATAATACTTATTTAGAACTTCCCTAAAAAAGGTGGGGCTTGAAAATGTCTTCAAGTGGGAAAATAATGACTATTAGTTGTCAAATCGACTTTAGAGCTATAGAGCCCCAAAGTAATAAGTCTTGATTTTTAGAAGATTGTACCGAATGGTCATACGTTTTATGCTGCGCAAAGATTCAATCAATTTAATCTTGGCCATCACAAGAAGTGAGTTATTGATGTAGACAAATGCTCATCTACCCTGTACAACTCTTTTCATGTATGTTATTACCAAAGAAGAAAAAAAGCCAGTCAGTCACTCAATAGTGTCTGACAGTGAAGTCTAGCAAGTAAACGGGTTTCCTTGCATAATTTGAATTTGAGGACACTGCTAACGTTTAAATTTCACAGATAGGACATACATGACATATTCATAATTCCTGCAAAGTTCTACAGAATTTGAGGTTGGTTGCAAAAGGGACATAGTACCTTTAACCGAGAGCTGATTCGATGAGATAACCACCTGTCAGTGACCATGCAGGGAGGTCTAATCTCTCCATGCCAAACTAGTGCAGAGAGGCTGGATTCATTTTTATTAAATTGCTCTTATTCCTGAATGCTTTCAATGCCTTGAATGCCACAACATACTGCATTAGATATGGACTCAAATCTTTCAACGATTCTTTCCGCTTTCTGCTCATGTACATGTACAAGACATAATTTAAAGCATTCTGAAAAATAATTTAAAAAACCACTAAAAGGTAACACTAAACTGCTATGGATTATTCTCCTTTTCTTTTTTCACATCTTGCATTGGTTTTATATGGGATTGTCCCGTACGTCACATTTCTTAATTTGATTATGTGATCAACACAGAATTTTTGTAATTTTTGTTAAACCTATTTTTTGTTAGGTATTCATCTAAATTAGAACTTCCTAGAATGTCTTTTTTTTTTTTAAATTATTTTCATAATTAAAATTAAACAAATTATGATCAAATTGTGACGTACGGGACATCACACTTTGGAACCTACCTCATTTGCATAATAAATTAATTTTGAAAGTTTTTATATTTTTTTCCTATTTTCTAGCATGGTGGTCTACAATTCCTGAGGTATTTAATTTTAAACAAATAATTCAAACGAGATACAAAAATAAAAATGTAATGTCCCGTAGGTCACGCTAATTAATAAAAATCAAAGTTCGTGACCTTGGCATTCTTCGTATTTGGATAATTTTTTAATTTTTTTATCAGATTCGTAAAATTCATAGTTTCAGCTTTAAAATGAGGTATAGTTTCCTAAATATATATAAAGATGAAATTCGGCCCCCAGAGGGGACAATAGCTTGGACCTGCCCTAAAATGCATTCACTCATATCCCCTATGTGACAGGGCAATTACAAGGACATCATTAACATGATGGAGAGCAGCCGTCTGCGTCTGGATGCCTTGCGAGAGGCGACCCTGATGGAGGAACAAGAGTTCAATGACCTGGTAGCTGCGGAGAAGAAGCAGGTAGCTGCCAAGGTTCACCTTCAGCATCTCAACTTTGGGAATTCCTCAAACCACACCAAAGTGGAGACTATTCTAGATGAAATATTTCAGGTTAGTCCTTTTTAAATGATGGTTTTATAACTTATTAATCAATATAATTTATCAATAAACAGAAATAACGATGATAGTGACGATGATGATGATGATGGTGACATTGATAATGGTGTTTAGTTTGGGATGTATGCACATTGTAAATTTATATTTTCATATTATCATTATTATTATTATTTATTTATTTTTATTTAATTTTTTGTTGTTGTTGTAAATTAATGTTGATGGTGTTGGTTGTGTTGTTCCTATCATCATCATCCTCCTCACCATCATCATCATTATTATCAACGTAACTATCATCATCACCATTACCATCACCATAAATAATCATCATCATTGATCATCATCATTATTATCAATGTAACTACCATCATCGTCATCATTACAATCACCATAATCATCATCATCATCAACATCACCATCATCATCATCACCATAATCATCACCATCACCATCATCATCATCCTCATTGATCATTATCATCACTATCACAATTATCATCATCATCATCATCATTTTCTAGTTTATATTGTGAGTTTGAATGTGAGTCACAACTTTTCATCTTGTACAGGAGGTAGCTGAAGCGGCGGATAAGCTGGAGATTGACATAGAAGAACATGCCTTTGACAAGAGCAAAATGGTGAGTTTGCTTTGTTTATAAAATGAATAATAATGAGAATTAATAGATGATGTAGAAAAGCGAAAGTGACAAGCAGGTGCTGGCAAGCATGCCAATTTTACTTTTAGATACCAAGGACTGTATTCCGAAAATGATGTTATCTATTATGCTAAGGAAAATGCTGTTGACTGTCATAACAAACTCCAAATTTGCGGGACTAAGACCCCGTTCTCACTCACTTTGAAAGTGGTCTTAGTTAGACCGCTCCAGACCGCTCCAGAGGAACGGGTCTTGAGGAACGGTTTGCGAGCGTTCACACTCCGAGCAGTTTTTATGGCTCAAACCGCTCCACGAGTCAAAGTGGTCTTGTTGCTATGGCAGCTCAGGTAGGCGGGTCAATTATTTCGCATGCGGAATCCAAACCCTATGTCACCTGATGTCCCGTTCGCGACGCGTCCCGTATACATGTATATGTGTAGTGCCTGCCCGATCGCTCATCGCGCGGAACGTCACTTCCGTTCAAAGTACGCTTTCCGTTCACATTGCACGTTAGAGCGCTCTGGAGCACTCTTAATAAGACCCACTCCTCAAGACCACCTCGGAAGGTGGACTTCTGGAGCGGTCCAGAAGTCCACTTCCTGGACCACTTTGACCGTTCTCACTCACCTAAGAACCGCTCCTGAGGAACGGGTCTTAGTTAGAGCGCTCCAGAGCGCTCCAACGAAGTGAGTGAGAACGGGGTCTTACACTTACCATTGGTGCTTGTACAGATGTCTCTTCTAATTTTGCACAAACACCTGTAGCAAGCTTTGCGCAGGCATTAATCGATTACAATTACACTTGCTGTGCGTGAGAAGTGGCAAAGCATGTAGTGGAATAGACAGAATATATACCGGTAATTAAACCTGCTTTTATTAACCCCCACCTGCATCGAAAGACCAACTGTCTAGAAAGACCACATTTCATGTTTCCTTTGAGCGGTCTTTATATACAGGTTTCACTGTTTTCATAACATAATCATACTGTGTACAGTATCAGTGTACATTATCACTTCATGATGTACACTGTAAGAATGTAACAAGGATATTATCTTGCTCTGTATTCCTTTTGAGACGTTCATTCCACATATTTTTTTGTTTGGCGCAATAACTTTTGAATCAGTGCCTTAAAAAATACATCAGATGGATGAGTAGGAAGGGCAAAAGTGTCTTAAAGGGAACCAAAACCTTCATATTAAGTTACTTTTATTGTAAAGTTTAAGATATTTGAAAAATATCAGTGAAAATTTGAACAAAATCGGGCAAGGAATAAGGAAGTTCGAGCTTTTTGAAATGACTATTTACTATAGGGCGGTATTCAATTTGATGACATCATCTGTGGACAACTCTCCATGCCATGTATGCAAGTAGGCTAAAATACTGAAAGCTAACTCATTCTTGACGCACCCACCGTATGGCAGCATACTAATTAAATATGTGTACAGAGCGTACATTATGTGTGTTTATTTAGCTCTCGGCTCATATACAGTAGGCGTGTTTTCATCAGCTTGAGTTTGCCAAAAAAAACCACTATTTTTAGACTCAGGATATTATTCCGAAGACCGATACGCTCATGACAAACTAGCCCGGATGGGCGCAAATTAGCCCGCTATTTCCCAAATAGCGGGATATTTTGGAAACGACCTAGATTTCTCAGGATATTTTCACGACCAAGTAACTGCGAGCTGATGAAGACGCAAATTAACTGGCTAATTTTGGAACGGGATGGTTAAAAGAGCAGGTTATTTGGCAAACACGAGTTGATGAGGACAGGCCTAGTTTGGGTAAGGTCCCAAAAGCGTTTTGTCAGCTTTCTCAGATATCAGTTTATAAATAGCTAGATATTGAATATTCTAAGCCAGTGTATTCTGAGGTTTTCCTCGTCATGTCAATATGTGTCTGACGGCCATGCCTTATTAAAGGGGAAGTCCACCCTGATATGAAGGTGGTTTTCATATATAACTGGAAGCAGAAAATGTGGTCAGGGAAGATTTGAGCAAAAACCGATTGAAAATAACAAAGTTATGTCTGGCATATGGATGTTCGAGTACAAGTGGAACAAATATGAGGACATATTCAACAAGTTATATGTTCCAATTTCATTTGTACTGTACTATTAAGCCATGTAAAAAAATATACATGTTTAGCGTCCCTGCCCGCTTCCTATTTTTTTATTTATTTTTTTTGAATTTTTTTTTTTTTGAATTTTTTTTTTTTAAAGAAAAAAAACATGAAAAACACTAATAAAATGGATCTATTTCTGATTTTAAAAAAAAAATTGTCGGCGGCCATCTTGAAAAACAGCCCGACTGACAGGGAAAATGTACAGAGCAGCCATTTTGAGCGGCCATTTTGAAAGAAAAAAAGAAGAAAAAAGACATGTTTTGTTTTTTATTTGGCCTTACTTCTACTGTTTATTATCTTTAAAGTGATAGTTAACTTTTTGGCGACAATCATTCCACATTTTGTTGTTTGGTTTAATAACCTTTTAATTCAGAGCCCTTGAAAATATTGCCAAACTCATTGGTAGAAACTAGAAAGGGCACAAATTTCTACACAACATGCATCCATTTTAATTTCATAGCTTTATCGCATTTGATGCCAGAAATTTTGAAAAAGGAAAATAGGCTTTAAAATCCTTAAATTGGCAACACGTTCAGAAATTTGAAATCGTTTTATTTTTCTCTCAAAATTTGCCATTTATTCAATTTTTTTGTTTAAAACATTCTTGCCCATAAATACTGTTTTCAGAAACATAGCATTTAATTCTAACAATATAGAAGCAATAAAGAAAAAACTTTGTTGCCTATGTGAAAGGCAATAGGTGATCAATTTAACCCTAAAAACAAATACTGTCCTGAAACGAGTTTAAACCAGATCATGACTGCATGTACCAGGTACCTCACCTTGTTTGGTATGACGGTCTCCATTGAGTGAGAGGAAGATCAAGTGATGCTTATGAATAATGCAGGATGCTTTGTAAACATATACTATACAGATCCCAGTTTATTTAAAATGCAAAAGTGAAGAGCAGAAGTGTTTGCATTAGGGCTGCGACGAGTAGTCGAACGCTCGAGTACCCGCACTGTTGACAACTACTCGAGTACGATTTCTCGTACTCGACGTACTCGAATATTCGGCCGCCAAAAAAAAAAAAAAAAAAAAAAATCCCGGTCACCTGGCACTGTCCAGGCCATCACTTACCCATGCCAGGGAGAGCGGCGCCCGCTGGCATGGTATCGTCGGTAAAAATGTTTCCCAGCTCAATCACTATCAAACTCACCACTCAGAAACTGGGACCAAATGTCTGAATTTCTGTTTGGACTCGGAGGAAAATGGATTATTCTGCCATCTTTGGTTTTTAAAACAGCATTGTTTACAGTTATTAAATCGGCACCTTCAATTGCAACTCAAGGTAAAAGTGCATGAGTTTTCGGAGACGGACCTGGGATACTGCTCACGTGGTATGGTGGTGGCAAAAAAAAAAAAAATAAATAAATTAAAATAAAAAAATAAAATAAAAAAAACATGGCATCCAAATATTCTAGTATTCGCTTGTAAGCCTGGGAGTGTACTCGGGTACCTCATTACACGGTTGTGCACAGCCTTGGTTTGCATAGTGTATGCCACATGGAAACTGCCTCAGTAAACTACCAGTGCAAAATAAGCATTTTTAAAAGGTACAATCATTCCACATTTTAAGTGGGTTGGCTCAAAAACTTTTGAATCAGAGACCTAAAGAAATATGCCAGATGGATGAGGAGAAAGAGCAAAAAATTTTGCAGACACTGCATCCATTTTTGTTTCATAACTTCATTGCGTTTGATCCCCGAAGTTTTGAGAAGGAAAATAAGCTTTAAAATCCCATATTTAGCAACACATTGAGAGATTCTGAATGCTTATTTTCGATCAAAAGTAGCGATTCTCTAAACTTTTTGACAAAGTTAGTACACATTGTAGTTATTGCTCTTGTAATAGACATTACATTTTATGAGAACAATGTATCTCTATTAAAGAAACTCATTGTTGCCAATTTGAAGAACAGCATGTGATCAATTTAGCCCTTAAAATAATCCTGTCATGAAAGGGTAAATGTGCATCCCCTTTTTCATACCTACTTGCCATATATGGAAATGGCTCTTTACAATTTGGCTCTTTTGGATTTAGCTCAAATTGTCATCAATATTTTGAGTGTGTAATAAAGTTTTTAAGACACTCTCTGTTGATTCTTATAATGCTCAAACACCAAAGTACAAAACTGACTCAAAATCGGCACTTTTGTGACATTCGATGACCCCTAAATAGTGAAATATAATCAATAACAAAAAAATACTCTGAAAATTTGAATTGGCCCTGTCGATCCTGGTGAAATATTTGGTTTTATAGCATTGCATGCTACTGGGGGACACATTCACTTACCTTCAGGGGATAAGTGGTCCGCATCTACTTGCCGACTTTTTATATTTTCAAATGGGGGGGGGGGGGGGGAGTCAGTGCCCTGGGCCCCCTGGTAGCGTTTGAGATACTTGAATTGTCATTTTAAGTTTCAATCGTTTAATTTTACCCCTCCCTGCAGGCTAAAGGATCCCAGATCGAGGCTGTCGTCCGCATCGATGAGATCCTCGGCAATTACAACAACCCCAACTCTGAACGGAAAAGAGCGATACAGCCTGGGATGAGTGTACTCGTCGATACAAGTAACAATCAGTATGTACTTACCAGGCCGAAGGATACAACAGTGCCACTCGAAGATCATAATTTTATAAAGGTAAGGACTTTTAACAAGAAACATATGCAAGAATGTTTTGTTATTTTTCTCGTTAATATTTTTTCATAAATGCATGATACTACTCCACATGGACAGCAGTGGAAAAAAAAGAAAAGAAAAAAAATCTTTTTCATGGGAGATAAATTTAATTTGCTAATTTAAAGGAAGTGTAGCATGACAAGACCACGTGTCTTGCCAACCGCAGCAATCATGTGCGTGCAACATATGCGAAACTGAAGCGTGATGAGAACTTTGGTGTGTTTCACGAATGCTGACCATGTAGAGATTAAGTCGCTGACTACCGTTAATCAAGTCCATTTGTTAAAGTATTTGACAATCTACACTCCCTTTAACTATTGGTAGAATGAAATGTGGATAACTCAGTCGAAAAGTGTTATGAGAAGCAAGATTGGGTAGTGAAATTCGTGTGGATTTTGTATAAAGTTACTCTTCTCTAGTTTGCGGTGATATTTATGGTTTTACAGTTATTTATACTGTAGAAGAAATATAATTCTTTCTTCATATTATACATTGATATTTTCCTTACTAAACATTGAAAATATTAATACTGCTACAGTGTAGGACCTTGTATAATAATGTGTGATTTACTTTGTTCTATTGTTTTGATGAGCAGCAATACTTTTAACCTGTATTTCATATTTCATTTTCAAATCATTCTTAGATTTCAGGTTGTTTTCATATACAAGACCACTAGCACACATACTGTACATGTATAATATTTGGAAAATCAAAAGATTTCCCTGTGAAATCTTCCATTGACACTATAACCGTGTATGTAATTTCCTTGTTGACAGGATATCATTTTAATGGTGGTGTTGGCATCCGTCCCGGGCTGGGGAATCAGTTTCCATATTCAAATCATTCTTATAATTCAAGTTGAGTTCGATCTGGGAAGAGATGAAAAATAACTTGTCAGCGTTATCATTTTATTATGCAAGTGTTGAAGAACATCAGATCAAAAATGTTCCCTGAAAAGCATGGCTCTTCAAATGCCTTAATATTCTAAATATGGCATGTGACATCATAAAAATCGGGACTGATTTTTATGCCACATGTTTGTGTAATCCCATATCTTTTTGTGTACAGTGCTTGTAACTTTACCAAGACCGGGCCCAATTTCATTTTGATTACATAACCTTGCAGTACACACCAATGCTTATATGCTAGATGATTAACCTTTTCTGATCAATTCCACAAGGTTTCTTTTACAATGCAAACGTACCATTAGACCCCACACCTACATGTTCCAGTATGCTGTGTGGAAATCAACAGGTTTCCTTGTGAAATCTTCCAGTAACTCAGTACCGTAAATCTCCGTGTATAAGACACACTTTTTTGCTGCCGAACAAAATTGAAAGTCGGGGGTGTGTCTTATACACAGGTAAAGTTTCAATTTATGCAGACCTGCCAACCAGTACGATTTAGTCGTATTTAGTATGATTTTTAGAAGCAAATACGACAGTACGATTTTCCTTAATAAAATACGATTTTCAAAAAAAAAAAAACTATTTTTTTTTTTTTTTTTTTTTAATATTTTGTGTGTGCGTCCGCCATTTTCAATGGCAAAATGTCCATTCTGTCCTGTAAAGTATCCTACAACATCTCACATCAGCAATTTGGGGATGTTTATTGGTTCATCGAACACACCAGTCGTGACGAAATAATGCATATTCAACCAATGATCAATAAAAAAAAATCTTCCTGTAGGTAGAAACTGTAAGAGGCATTGATTCGCAAGAATACAACTTTTGTCAGTAAAATACAACTTTGACACTAAAGAATACAGTTTTTGAACTCCAGAGGTTGGCAGGTCTGTTTATGCCCCTCGATCTGGCACTACATGTATGTCTGGCAATTTCTCCCAGCTCAGTAATCGGTGTGTTGACTCACCACTCGGAAAGTAGAACAATACTCAAATTTGTCTGTCATTTTGGTTTGAAAGTAATCTTTCTAACAGATCTCAATATGTAGTCTATCATAATAATTCCTCCAATTTTTCTTCCATTACACATGGCGTACCACAAGGTTCTATCCTAGGAACTCTACTGTTTTTAATTCACATTAATGATCTTACAAATTCTTCTAAAAACAACATTGTTACAATTTTTTGTGACAAGTTAACAAGCACAAATCGGAGCCCACCTCACAGTTAAATGAAGTCCTTCTCCTTGTGGGTTTTTTAACACAGACTTCTCACATTTTTTTTTCTTTTTTTCTTGGCCCCCAAAATAGGGGTGCGTCTTATACACAGAGATTAACGGTATTGCTTTTCATTCTTTGACAGGATATCATCTTGATGGTGGTGTTGGCATCCATCCTGGGCTGGGGAAGCAGTGCAATGGGGTTTCCTGCTATGTTTGGTTACATCATGGCTGGCGTTATACTAGGATCAGATGGGTGTAATATCGTCAAGGTAATGATGACGATGGTGATGGTGGTGGTGGTGGTGGTGATGGTGTTGGTGATAATGATGCTGGTAGTGATGGTGATGATGACGGTGATGGTGATGACAATGGTGGTGGTGGTGGTGATGGTAGTGATGGTGATGATGATGATGATGGTGATAATATTGTAATGTTATTTATGTTTTATTAAAACATGTTCTCATGATGATAGTGATGATGGTGATGGTGATGATGATGATATTGATGGTGATGGTGGTGATGATCATGGTGGTGATGATGGTGATGGTGGTGATGATGATGGTTATGATGATGATGGTGATGATGATGGTTATGATGATGATGGTTATGATGACGGTGACGGTGATGATGATGATGATGATAGTGATGATGGTGATGATGATGATGATGATATTGATGGTGATGGTGGTGATGATGGTGGTGATGATCATGGTGGTGGTGATGGTGATGGTGGTGATGATGATGGTGATGATGATGAAAGTGATGATGGTGATCATGATGATGGTTATGATGACGGTGATGATGATGGTGATGATGATGATGATGATGATGATGATGGTGGCGATGATGATGAAAGTGATGATGACTGTGATCATGATGGTGGTTATGATGATAATAATGTAATCTTATTTATGTTTATCAAATATTAAAACTTGTTCTCATGATGATAGTGATAATAATGATAATAATAGCTCGTTCTTATATAGCGCTTTTCAGGACCGGAGGTCCTCACAAAGCGCTTTACAGATAAGTATATTATTACCCCGGTCATTGATGATGATGGTGATGATGATGATGGTGGTGAAGATGATGATGAGGATGATGATAATGGTTGTGGTGGTGATGATGATTATGATGATAACAATGTAACGTTATTTTTTATCAAATATTAAAACTTGTTTTCATTCTCTTTTCTTCCCTCTTCAATTTACAGGCAGTGGTACAGGTGGAGAGCCTTGCTGTATTCGGATCTTTCTTCATTCTTTTCTCTGTTGGGTTAGAATTCTCTCCTGAAAAGATTAAAAAGGTAAGTGCAAGTTTTAAAAAAGAATTGTAATGGATACCAAAACATCTAAGATGCAGCATCATTCATGCCTATAAAACTCTTTTTCATTTTGACTATTTTGTTAAAGGTAATACAAAGTTTTGATATGGGGTCATGGATTTGGTTCAAATGAACATATTGTATTTAAAGCATAATTATGCGATTTTACAATATTCAGTGATCGTTGTCACGGTTGAAATCAAGTCTAAAGTGATAAAATTATAAATAATAAACTCTCAAGGTCAAGATATTAATTAAGCTACAAAACAATGTTTCTTGACTAAAATCGACCAATTTGCTATTCCCGTTTGGAAATAATATATCACATTTACATATTCTTAGATTTTCATGGTCGCAGCTACCATTGTATGGCCATAGGCGCTATTTGAAATTGAATATCAAAATTTACCGGGAGCACCAGTAAATTTTTATTATTCAATTTCTCGAAAGCCCAAGTGTTTTAGGGGCTAAATTTGCTAGTGCTTATAATACATCCACAGGTGTATTCAAATATATCAAAATTGTAAAGAATCACTATCCAGCCAATTTTCAAAATTTCTTTGTATTACCTTTATTAAAGGTAAAGACCAGTATTGGAAACGCCCCAATTTCAAAAAATGAAATGGAAGCTCTCATTACCTATCATGTGAAAGAATATGTTTTGACTAATACATGATGATAAAAAATTTGCCGGGAAACCACCTACTAATTCATATATTTGGTAAATTTGTTTCTCTCATGGTCTGTGAGAGATATTCTTCTTCTTCTTCTGTACGTGTCGACAGACTTGTTAGTCCATATAAAGGCACGGAAACGAAGCACATGGTCATGGAATAGAGCAATCTTTTAGGAATTGTAGCGCGTGGGACCTAAAGGAATCAATTGATCCTGTGTTGATAACACTATCAGGTAACTTATTCCAGTCCTTGCACGTACGAGGGAAATAGGAGAACTTGAAGAAGTCTGTCCTGCAGTACGTCTGTTTCAAATGATGGCTATTGCTTGTTGAGGAACGACGGGATCTAGTAACAGCAAGAGGTGTTAGGGTCTTCGGGATGGCAGATTGTCCGCTCTGGATCTGTTTCATGAGGGCAAGTCTTGCAACTTCTCGCCGATGTTCAAGTGAGTCCCAATTCAGATCCCTCAACATGTCCGTGACACTAGCACGTTGGTTGTAGTTGTTGTTGACAAATCTTGCAGCACGACGTTGGACCATTTCCAGCTGCTTGATGTACTTGGTTTCATAGGGGTCGTAGACACTAGCTGCATATTCTAAATGAGGTCTTACTAGCGAAAGATAAGCAGTGCTCTTGATGGTTCTCGAACAACCTCTAAGATTACGCCTTAACATTCCGAGAACCCTGTTAGCCTTCTTGGTAATGTGAGCATACTGGAAATCCCACTTGTATTTGTGGGTTAGGAAGACTCCAAGGTATTGGTGATGTTGAACTGGATCCAGGATTTGGGCATGAAGAGTATATTGGAAACTCAACTTCTTCCTCTTGTTGGTCATATTCATGACGAAGCATTTCTTAGCATTAAATTATAATATAGGGTAGTCCCATATACATCTTTCTGTGTATAGTGCTTGTAACTTTACGAAGAATGGGCCAAATTTCTTATCATTTTGATGATTCCAGAACCTTGCAGATGCTAGATGCTTGATGATCAACCTTTTCTGATCGATTCCACAACGTTTCTTTCACAATGCAATCGCACGACCATAACTTGTCTTTACCTTTAAGTTAAAATTGATTGATTTCAGTTATATCTTGTTAAAGGATGGGGCTCTGGTGTTCATCAAATTAACTTTGTTTCTCACTTTATTCCATTGTTCTTGCACAGGTATGGAAGGTAGCTCTCACCGGCAGCGTAGCCATGAGTGTGCTCATGATCGTCTACGGGATTCTCTTCGGTTACGCCTTGCATATCATACCCAGACAGAGTGCTTTCATCGCCGCCTGTCTGTCTCTCTCCAGCACTCCGCTGGTCGTCAAGTTCCTCAGCACGAGCTCAAACTCCACACGCGGCAGAGATAAAGAGGAAGGTCAGTGAGATAGCCATGTTTGTTTGTTTGTTTGACCTGACTGCTAAGAAAGCATGTTTATGCTTGTAAGTAAGCAACCTGGGGACCAACAGCTTTAAGTCCTCTCCGAGGGACTTGGTAAGGAACCCAGGACCTCCCAGGTGCAATGTTGCAGACTATGATTACAGTTGTACGCATGGCACGTAAAGCAATAATGTTCAGATAGATCTCACCGTAGCCTCATACATACATACAAATTTTCTTTAATCTTTTTAATTTGACTTTTAACCTTCGACCTCTTTCATGCAGATGCTACAGATCATGAATACAGCCCCACCCTCCTCAGGATACTGGTGATGCAGGACGCCCAGTTAGGTCTTCTTGTAGCCATCATGCCAATGCTAACTCCAATACTAGAGAATAAATAAAACGTTTTCAATTTGACCTCTAACCCTTGACCTCTCTCATGCAGATGCTACAGATCATGAATACAGCCCTACTCTCCTCGGGATACTGGTGATGCAGGACGTCCAGTTAGGTCTTCTTGTAGCGATCATGCCTATGCTAACTCCAATACTAGAAAACAAATTAAATCTTTTTAATTTGACCTTTAACCTTTGACCTCTCTCATGCAGATGCTACAGATCATGAATACAGTCCTACCCTCCTCGGGATACTGGTGATGCAGGACGTCCAGTTAGGTCTTCTTGTAGCCATCATGCCTATGCTAACTCCAATACTAGAAAACAAATAAAATCTTTTTAGTTTGACCTTTAACCTTTGACCTCTTTCATGCAGATGCTACAGATCATGAATACAGTCCTACCCTCCTCGGGATAATGGTGATGCAGGACGTCCAGTTAGGTCTTCTTGTAGCCATCATGCCTATGCTAACTCCAATACTAGAAAACAAATCAAATCTTTTTAATTTGACCTTTAACCTTTGACCTCTCTCACGCAGATGCTACAGATCATGAATACAGTCCTACCCTCCTCGGGATACTGGTGATGCAGGACGTCCAGTTAGGTCTTCTTGTAGCCATCATGCCGATGCTAGCTGGGGCCGAGAATGCCTTACCCAATACCAAAGAAGAGGTGTCCATACTCACCAACATTGTGGGAACTTTAAGGCTGATTCTTTGGCTGACATTAGGTAAAAGAGATTAACTTTATTAAATTTTTTATATATTTTTTTGTATGCAGTAGTTTAAAGGAAGTGTCACATAAATCAGGCTATGCACCATGCTCATAGAATTGTCTTGGCAGCAAGAAAATTATAATAATAAAGAGGTTTAAATTTAACCCATGGTTTAAAATTAGCGCAAAATAAGCGCGACAAGGTCAAAGGTCCAACATTAAGACAAGGTAGGCTTAATTTGTGCTAATTTTAAACCATGGGTTATGTAAATGAGGGTTAAACCATGGGCCATAGTCGGAGGATGGAGTTGACAATTTCAGATTCCAATGCTTAAAGGGAGGCTTTACTACTTCAGCCAGAAGGGATTGGCCACCCAGTGAGCCAGCGAGGTCACTGTGACAGGTGGCTATCTCATTAACTCAGCTCTCATTTAACATAAGAAAAAGAGGATCATGGGGGACCAACAGGCACCGATTTGGGAAGTTTTCTATATAGAGGGAGCAAGTAGCTACAAGTAGGACAGTGTGCCTTTAATGATCTCTAATAAATGTTTAACTTAACTAATCAAGTGACCTTTGACCTCTCCTCCAGCCATGGGAAGCATTCTACTCTTGACCTACTCCTTCAGTAAAATAGTTGTACCCGTCATCTTCAATCGCTTAAAACGCGAGGGCAACAAGGAGATTCTACTCCTAGCTACAATATCCTGTGTATTTATCATGCTCATGGTAAGTTGTATTGTATTTATTTTTCGTCAATTAAAAAAAATCAACAAATATACATTTACAATCATAAAGACACTCTTATAAAAGGAAGACGGAGGGATGGCCCTACTCAGCGTTGTGAGCATAACAATGCTGTTTTGCAGAGGGTCCCTATAGACATAAAAGACACGTAAATAAATAGTACAGGAGTAAGGAAAACTTGCAACGAAAATAAGAACTTACAATAATGACAAGATCGAATTGGAGTAAAAACAAGAAAAGGGAGTTGTTGTTTTTAACATGGACATTGCAGATCGTGTAGCTAAATCGATGGATGTGTGCTTTGATTGACTGAAGGTATGAATAGAAGAAAGTGAGGAGGAAGAAAAGAAAAGAATGAAGGAGTGAAAAGGAAAGGGAATAAATGAGCGATTGACCGACTAAAATAAGTGAGTGAATGATATAAAGCTTATCTGCACTAGTTTGGCAAGGAGAGATTAGACCTCCCTGCGTGGTCACTGGCAGGTGGTTATCTCATCAAATCAGCTCTCAATTAACATAAGAACAAGGGGACCATGGGAGACCAACATGTATCGCTTAGGCATTGTTTGCTATATAGGGCGCAAGTAGCTTACAAGTAGTGCATTCCCACTTTAATTTGGGATGAAAATGATACATGTGTAGGAGAGGGAATAATTGTTTTGAAATCTCACTCGCTGACTTTTTTTTTTTAATTCCTCATTTCTTAAAGGGAATAAATGAACGATTGACAGACTGAAATAAGTGAGTGAATGATTTAAGTTCGGAGGAAAATGATAAATGTGTAAGAGAGGGAATAGTTGTTTTGAAATATCATTTGCTGACTGTATTTTTCATGTTTCGCACTTCATTTATAGGTCATAGACTTGCTAAGCCTATCGATGGAGCATGGTTGTTTTCTTGCCAAGTGCCATGATGACTACGTTAGGTCATATACTCCTAGAACAATTAATTCAAGGTGGGACCCATTTTTAGGAGGGGGGGGGGGAGGTTGTTTGCTGCTTGTCTAGGTCCCTGTTGCACAAAACTTACTATTGATGGTAACTTTACCATCAATGGTAACTACCATGGAAACCTTGATTTTGATTGGGTGTTGAGCCCTATTACCATGGTAGTTGCCATTGATGGTAAAGTTACCATCAATGGTAACTACCATGGAAACCTTGATTTTGATTGGGTGTTGAGCCCTGTTACCATGGTAGTTGCCATTGATGGCAAAGTTACCATTAATGGTAAAGTTATCAATAATGGTAAAGTTACCATCAATGGTAAGTTTAATGCAGCGGGCCCCAGATTATTCAGGGGAATGATTGTTTCTATATCTCATTCGCTGACTGTTTTTTTTTTTTCTTTCATTTTCTCATTTCATTTTAGATCACAGACTCACTAGGCCTGTCTATGGAGCTTGGTTGTTTTCTCGCCGGAGCGATGTTAAGTACTTTAGGTCATTCGTTCATAGAAGAATTAAATGTGTTGGTGGAGCCCATTAGAGATGTCTTCGCTTGCTTGTTCTTTGCGTCTATAGGTAAGTTTACCCCCTCTTTACTGCGGTTTAATGAATGGAATTGTTGACTGGGTTCATTCTTTCATTCAAAATGGTATTTATTTTAAAAATAATCATGCATCGCAACATAATGTTGAATCGTGCAAAATTTACCATCAAAATGGTAGTAACTTACAAGGAACATACTTATTATATATGTTTATCTTATGTGTATGTTTATCACTGTCCTGTAATATTTTATAAGAATAATTTACAGAAGTGATGGTGAAAACAATATTAATCGTTTACTGTATGTTTAAATTTATTTGTTGTTGAAAGGTTTTAAAGGCAGGCTTTACTACTTTAGCTAGAAGGGATTAGACCACCCAGCGAGCCAGCGAGGTCACTGTGACAGGTGGCTATCTCATTAACTCAGCTCTCATTTAACATAAAAAAGAGGATCATGGGGGACCAACATGCACTGATTGGGGAAGTTTTCTATATAGAGGGAGCAAGTAGCTACAAGTAGGACAGTGTGCCTTTAAGATCTCTCTCTTTATCTCTTTCTCAGGTCTTCATATCTTCCCAACCTTCGTAGCGTATGAGCTATCTATTCTCCTTAGTCTTACATTCACTGTAGTCATATTAAAGGTAAGGTTTCGGTCAAGGGAAATCCAACCCATGTAATAAGTTCCTTTGAACGATAACGACAAAAGCATGAAGTGAATCAAACCAATAATAAGAAAGTTATGGATGTTTGAAATATCAGATCACTACAGCTATGCGAATCGCTGGGTGAAGGCACTTTGGAGAAAAGACATAAATTAGTGATATTTTGGTACACACAAAAAGAAGGGGGACTTTTGTATCTGTCACTATTTGTTTGTTTGTTTGTTTGTTTGTTTATTTATTTAAATACGGTGTTTAAAAAACATGCTTTCAGCTTAGCATAGCTGTTTTTCAGCATGTCCGTACATGGTACATTAAAATACATATGAATAAATAGATAAAACACAAAAATTAAACAATAACAAATAGATAACATAAAATAATATAATATGTCACAATCCACTGAAAAAATTGCCAATTTGAGATTCGCATAGCTGTAGTGATCTCATATTTCAAACATTCACAACTTTCTTATTATCTTTTGTTTTAATTTACTATTTTAGACGGGCCATTTTCGTAATGTAACCAAATTTATACTTGAAAGCCTCGATACAAATAATTGTATTTCAATGGTCAGAACGAAAATGGCATATATTACGCGTTGTCAGGTAGGGCAAACCATAATGTTTATCCCACCTAGTAAAACTAATGTATTCAATTTGAATTCCGACTATTGAGATACATTTACTCGTAACAGGTGAATGAAATAATTTGTATCCAGTTGTTTCACAAAGGCATATGCATATTTTTGGTTACATTACAAAAATGGCCTATTACATGTACATATATTAGTCAATATCTCACATGTCAAAGAATTTGGCAAAGTTTATGGTCCAAGAGAATCCTTATTTAAGAATAGTTTTACGAACATGCAAGTCAAATTTAAAATGTTTGAATTTATTAAGTCAGAGAATATTAATATGACAGAAAGGTTAGATGTTTGATGTTGATTAATAAGGATGAATAGTTTTCTGTTTGTAAACATTCAAAGATTTATAAGATTTAGTGAAAAGCCATGATATGCTCTGTGATTTTTCTTCATGTACACAGTACAACAATCCAGCTTTGATTAATTTATCACTTTATATATATATCCAACGTCAACATCATCATCATCCTTATCTATTTCATAAGATGTGCTTGGCTGTCATATTTTCAAGAAATTTGCTTGTAATGGCAGTAATTATTTCGCAAACAGTTTTATAAAGTTTAATGAAATACGGTATATTTGTAATTTTCTTTTTGGGGAAATAATAATTTTTATGTAAATTTGCTTATTCATGATTCATTGTCTGAAAGTACTTTTAAGTATTTTGTGTTTTTCATGTTACCGAAAAAAAATTATATTTATATGGAAAGCAGAAGAAAAAAATGAATAAAATCAAAATAAAATAACAATTTCTAATTTTCTAACATGTAATCTATTATTTCATCTAGTCATTCTTGTAGTTTAATTTTTTTTTTCTAGTTTTTGACAGGTGTCTTTGTACTGGGTATTCTTCTACCGTTGAGTACGAGACATATCAAATGGGTCGTAGCGTCGGGCTTAGCTCAGGTCAGTGAATTCTCCTTTGTACTCGGAAGCAGAGCGAGGAGATTGGGCATCCTGTCCAGGGAGGTAAGATTTAATTCAATGATTATTTTTGTATGAAGGGTTTTGCGCCAACCGAAGAATCAATAAATTGTACCCTGTGCGTGAAAGTACAGTCAAGGGGAACACAAAAATTGGTCTTTGTAGACAGGTTCCTTTAGTACCTGTTTCAATGAGAAACCAATTTCAAGGGAAACAACAAATGTGACCTTTGTAGACAGGTGGTCACTAACGCAGGTGTGACTGTACCTGGATGACTGCAATTTTAAAACGATAAATCATGGGTTGTGAAAATCATCCGGATGACCGTGCTTTATTGTTTCAATGTCTGTTACTGCTAAATGTCACAACCCTGAGTATACCCTGAGGTACCTATTATGTAAAGTATGTCTCTCGTCTATTTACTGGTATACTGACTGTTCTTACTGTTACACTGGCTCATATTGTATTAAAGGAAGATACTTGTATGTTGATGTACATGTTGAATGCATTGTGATCCAACATCCATCTTTCTCTTTCTCTCTCTCTCTCTCTTTCTCTCTCCCCCTCCCTCTCCCTCTAGTCGAGTAGTAGTCGAGTGGTTTAAGCACTTGACTTATCACAGGTTTGATCCCTGACTTGGCACCAATGTCCTTTAGCAAGGCATTAATGTACATTTGCCACTCCATACCCATGAGAGAAATGGGAACCTGGTAGGATGACTGAAGCATTAGTGTTAGTAGTTGCCATATGCCTAGGGAGTGGAGATGGTGCACACTGTGCGTGAATGAATCCGATGACCGGGGTAATAATACCTTCAAAGTGCTTAGAGATGGTAATTTGTATTAAAGCAGGACTGCACTATGTGTAGTTACTTGCGCCCGCTATATAGCAAACAATGCCTAAGCGGTACCAGTTGATCCCCCATGGTCCCCTTTTACTTATGTTAATAGAGAGCTGATTTGATGAGATAAACACCTGCCAGTGACCACGCATGGAGGTCTAATCCCTCCTGGCCAAACTAGTGCAGATAGACTTTAAGCGCTGTATAAACCTAGAATATTGATATTATTGCTCTTCCTCTCTTTCTCTCATCCTATAGGTGTACCTCTTAATTCTAAGCGTCACAACCCTGAGTCTTCTCATGGCACCTATTCTGTGGAGGATTTCTCTATGGCGATGCAGGAGACATGTACACAGACCAGTCTTAGCCAGGTGGGTATGCTAAAAAGAGGAGAGGAAAACAATTTGAGAGCTTTCTATGTCGCCTAAAGAGGGTTGCTCACCTAATCACCTCATATTTTAAATATTTAAAAAATATATACACGCGATGATATTGGTGATAGCAAAAACTGAAATATATGCAGATAATTTATCTATACCTAAATGCATATTTGCTTACTTAAATGCTAATAACGTTCATGCTGTGATTTCATAGCGGAAAATTCTCATGAATTTACACGTCATTGTATAACATATATGCCTTGATGCATGGCATTTCATAATCTCTTATATTCAACATTCTTAGATTTTGAATATCGATAGAAAGGTTTAACCCTAAAGTTAGATTGTGGCATAATGTCAGTGTACTCAATGAATGGTAAAAGGAATTTTAGAAAAATATTTTAAAAAGGAGCTGTAGGTCGTACCCGCACTCATCTATATGGTGGCTACAGTATCCCGGTAGTTCCTGTGCTAAACCCAGAGCTGCCAACCTTGTGCGACCAAAAAAAGGAATCATGATGGCGAAAAAAAGGAATTTCAAGCAAAAAAAAAGGAATTCATAAAAACGAAACTTACAACCACGCGCGACACACTTCCAATGCAGAAATGTTCATTCATCATGCTGTTTTTTCCATACAAGCAGGTAGTTTTGTTGGTGGTTATTTTGGTTTTATCGGCATTTCATTTTTTTTGAGAATATATTTTTTCTCTTCAAGTATGTTTTAAAATTAGTTTTCTATTGAATTTGTGATCAAATCACCATTTTAGGGCAAACGTTTGACGTGTGGTATGTAAAAAAAAAAAAAATTATTAAAAAAATTATTTTATGAAGAAAAAACGTAATACCGTAATTTTGGGTTAAAAACGGAGTAATTCCGGCAAAAACGGAACGGTTGGCAGCTCTGTAAACCCATTGGAAAGAGGCAATTCTGTAGTTAGTGGGTTAAGATACAAAAATGTGAAGTGCAGTACTCTGATGTACACTTTAAAAAAACTTGCATATATGAGAACATGCCCTTCGATGTCTTCCATAGAATTTTAGGCCTTGAGAAATAAATCTTCCTTTACGCATGACATGCTAGACTACCTCAGTTCCAATTTCTCCTTGGAAGCAATGAACAGTAATAAAATGAAAATGATCTGAAAATTTCTTATTCATCTTGGATAATAAAATGTTCTGAAAGCTGTTAGATGTTTATTTGAAATCAACTGCAAATAATTTGGCAGGAAATACAAAGACAAAGGCAAAAAGGGGCAAACTTTAGATACCTGCTAGGAATTTAGATTGTTTTCTCATTCACTTATTGCTGCTCCACTTTAGAATTTATGAAGCACTTTGGAGCAGATTTGGACTGTGAGTACAGGTTTATTTATTGACATTCATCGGGTCAAATGTACAAATATAAAAAAGTTTTTTTTAGGCTTAAAGCTAATCTTGAGCTCTGGTATTGGAATGTATGTCAAGAGAACATGGCTATAATTCATTCCGGATTGTTTATCCTGCAGTAGATCATCTTCAATAAAAACCACAACTCTCATTGGCACATAAGTGACCTGTGGTAAGCATATGGTGTCAGGCCTACTTACCTTGATTTCCTTATCTTTCTTTGCTCATTTCTCAGCCCTCAAAGATGTTTCACCAAAATCTTTTGGCACTTGTCATTTATTTGTAATCTTGAACATTCAGTGTAAGTTTTGTTGGATTCTATGAGAATTTATTTTCTATCATTACCAGAACTCAAGCCTATCTTTATTCCTGTCCACAAGCTGGAAGTACCCCAAAATGTTCATCATCAGGGGGGTGTTTCACAAAGACTAAGATCAACTTTAAGTCGGGCTTAACTATGGTCGGCCGTTCATGCCACTAGTTCCTCTAACCATTCCTGACATTGGTTTCTCAAGGGAGACGTTCAACTCATGGTCACAAATGGACAGAATTTAAATTTAAAGGACAAAATATTATCTAAAGATCGTAATTGAGAGACCAATGGTGAGAGCAACCGGTGGCATGAATGGCCTGCCATAGTTAAGTCCAACTTAAAGTCCAACTTAATCTTTGTGAAACAACCCCCTGCTTATATTGTAATATTGTCTGTTGAGAACCAGAAGGGTATTAACACTATGCTAAAAAAAAAGTGATTTAGTGCCCTTTTGGCTGTCAATGGATAGTGCATTATACATCATACATGTATCATAACAATCTCTTTTTTTTTTTTCCTTTTCATTCTAATTCAAGATAACCGCACGTATCTGGTGGCTTAAAGCATATCATTGGTTGCATGGGTTCCCAGGTTTGTTTCAGCATGTATAGAATGTCTGTAGACAGAGAGTGGAATGTATGCTTTAAAACCAGAAACTCGCATCTCAAAACTTTCATAACTAATAATTATGGCTGTTTTTTCGTAAATGAATATAATTTGACATATGATATATCATCATCATATTATATGATATATCAATTCTCATTCTGAGTGCTATTCTTGATGGTACAATGTAATGTGAAAAAAAAATAGAAATAATTGTGAATATGCACTTTTGAGCCTTTGGCTACAAGGAATTATTATACAAAACCAGATTTAAATTGAAATCATTGTAAAAATGTCTTGGTATTAAAATCTGATATATTCTGCAGCATGAAACTTCAGTAGATCCCAACCACTCATGGAATTTGCAAAAGTGTATTTTAGGTTGAAAAGTTGCTGGTTTTATAGTAGATACAAAACTATTTGTTTACAGAATTATTCTTGAGTAGAATTCATCTTTAGAGTCCCTCTTCTTGAATTGTTTTCATTTTTGTTTTCCTTCTTCAACATTTAGTTAGTAAGCTGTTGTGTATTCATTTAATTTCTGTTTGAACTAATTTCTTTTATTTCCACAGCTTCAATCTGTCATACTCATTTTATTAATTAACCATTTCCATCCCTCTATTTTCCCATTACTACACTCTGAATCCTGAAGTAATAAAACTCATTGCAATAATCATCCTTCATATTTTCATTTCCAAACTCTACCAAACTACAGTGTCCCGGTAGGAGAATCAAGAAATTGGCATTAAAGCATGCAACCATATGCCATTCTCTGTTTAAAGGCAAAATCATCTACATGTATATTGTGTAAATTAAAATAGCCTCTGCTCATAGGCTCTGCTCGTTCATGAGGTTGTACATCGCATGCTCTTTCGACAATTACACTGCATCTATTTCCTATACTAACCGACTTCCTAAAGGGCAATCCAATTCTTGCAATATGTTCATTTGTATGAACACAGAAAAATAAGATATACAGAATGGCAAAATTTTTGAATAAATCAGGCCAATTATAAGAAAGTTATGAAAGTTTGAAATATCTTAAATTGGCAGTTTGGTCAGTGGATTGTGACATATATGTAGTCATGGATAACTCTCCTGTTTGTCATGTTCAAAATATCATTAATTTCTGTTTCATAGTCTCCTAACTATCTTATCCCTTGGTGCACTACTTAAAGTGTATTATGAATAGCATATTTTTATAGGTCCCCTAAGAGAAAAGATGCTCCCGGGTCATACATCTTTGAAAAATTAAAATTTTATTCATTTTATGTGTTAAAACAAATGGAAAAGATGTCTGCCACGACATCACAGAGACATTACTGATGCAGCCAATTTGACGAGCCCATACCTCTAGGCTATAGTGATTACCGTACAACTTCTAAAAATTCATAACATTCTCATATTTTGTCTGATTTCATTCAAACTTTCACCGGCCTTCTTCTCTGATTGTTCTGCTTTCCTCTAGAGTAGTTTGCTATCAAGGGTGGATTTCCTTTTACCTTCAACCCGTACTAAACACTAGGTCTTTATTTTATCCTGGATCTACCCTACAACCCTAAAGCTAGAGTAATTGTCGCAACAGCAAATGTTGGGTTACCTAATCTTGGATTATACATTTAACAACAGAATTATTCATACCCCTTGTAAATTTGATGTTAAAGAGAAGGTTGAGTTCTGGAAGAGGTGAAAAATAATTTGTGAATATTACTCATTCTTATTATGCAAGTATGGAAGAACATCAGTTAAGACATGTTCCCTGAAAAGCATGGCTCTTCAAATGCCTTCATATTCTAAATATGCATGTAACATCGTAAAAATCGGGGGGGGGGGGGGGGGGGGGCGGCAGCTTTTTACGCCACGTGTTTGTGTAGTCCCATATACATCTTCCTGTGCAAGTGTTTGTAATTTTACCAAGACTTGGCCAAATTTCTTATCATTTTGATGATTCCAGAACCTTGCAATACACACAAATTCTTATATGCTAGATGATCAACCTTTTCTGGTCGGTTCCACACCGTTTCTTCCACAATGCAATCGCATGACCAGAACTCAACTTCATCTTTAATTGTGCTTTTCGTGACTCAAGAAGGAAAGGGGGACTAGTTGATTATTTCCTTTATTGAATACTTTTAGATGTAAGCTTTAATATGCCACATTCTCAAGAAACGTACATCGGGACAAATCAATTTTTCAAAGTTAAAGGTAAAGACCAGTATTGGAAACGCCCCAATTTCAAAAAATGAAATGGAAGCTCTCATTACCAATCATGTGAAAGAATATGTTTTGACTAATACATGATGATAAAAAATTTGCCGGGAAACCGCCTACTAATTCATATATTTGGTAAATTTGTTTCTCTCATGGTCTGTGAGAGATATAGGGTAGTCCCATATACATCTTTCTGTGTATAGTGCTTGTAACTTTACGAAGAATGGGCCAAATTTCTTATCATTTTGAATTCCAGAACCTTGCAGATGCTAGATGCTAGATGATCAACCTTTTCTGATCGATTTCACAACATTTCTTTCACAATGCAATCGCATGACCATAACTGGTCTTTACCTTTAAAGAAAGCATTCTGTGCACATAACATATGAAATGTATGTAAACAAGTATCCAACAAATGTTGGCATCCCCTTTAGAGCTGTTATGAATAATTCTATTGATTTCCAAAATGTTGATTTACTGATGAGATCATTCAAGCAGCATACCCTTGTGCAAGTCCATGAGGATCTAACATAGTAACATACATGTATGTTGTCGTAATTTCCTTGTTTGTTCACCTACTTCCTAATGTATTCAAATTTCATGCATGCTCTCTGGACAGAATTTTTGTTTTCTATAACTGTTTTAAAAGTATCACTCTCAGGTGTTTTTTCACTCTTGGTATCAGGGAAGATCGATACATTTATTAACTACTATTACAGACTTGAGTCTTTAAGAAATTTAACTCGTGGAAACTATTGGCATTAGTCTTGACTAAATAGTTGGTTGATTACATCGGACTATTAAAAAGAGATTTGTTGTTGGGCTGCGCGTGTTTGAAATGAAAGCCTTTGAAAATTAACCCTTTGTCTATTAGCATCTTGTTTTGCTTCTTTCTCTTTTTTGTGTGCCTCTAATGAGGTGTTTATTTTCATTCAAATAAAAATAATGTTATGAGAACAAATATAATTGAAGTACAATGTTACCATACCAAGCACATACTTTCACAACTGTACAAAATTTTGCTATTTATCATCTAAAGTGATTTTAACAGTTTTTCTGGCAACCTTTTATCTGGCTCTTTAAGCTCCTGATTTGCATTAAGTCTGCTTTTTATTACTCCTTCAAATACATATCTTAGTTTGAAATACTTTTCATTATAACAATACTTATTCTTCTTGTTTTTGCATGTCTCAATCTTCTTTTCCCACAGACACAAGTCATGTAGTGAGAGTGAGAGTGACATTGGGACCAAGACTGTTTGACATTGGATCCAAGTCTACCTGAAACATTGTGATTGAAGCCTAGGACTACATGCGATTGAGATTCCAAAGCTATGTGAGCTTGAAATTGGGACCAAGGCTATCTGAGACTCCAATGTGGACCAAGGCTACCTGAAATATGGGATTAAAAGTTAATATTACTTGTACTTGTGGTTGGAATTAGGTCCAAATTGATATGAGCTTGACATGAGACTCAAGGCTGTCTGAGATGTATGCTTGAAGCGTACAGCTACATGTGTTGTATATTGGGACATTTGCGATGTGAGCTTGAAATCGGGACCAGGGCTGTCCGAGACTCACTTTTAAACCTAGTCTGCTTGAAATATGTGATGGGTGCCTGAGACTATCTGAAATTGGAGACTGATGTTGGACCAAGTCTGCTCCAGATCAAGAAGAGGACCAAGTCAGCTTGATACACAGAACTAAGATTAAGACTTCCTGAGATTGGAAGAATAAAGAAGGAAATAAAGACCAATTGTGTTCTGGTGTCACTGGGACCAAAGCTACTTGAGATTGGGATTGGCACTATTTTGAGATTGGGACCTAGACTGAGATTTAGACTAGTCTATCTCAGAGTATGCTGTAAGACCAAGTCTATCTGAGTCTGAAGTTTGGCCCAGAAGATGAAATAAACATGAAGAATTATTTCATGACAAATGTAACACTAAACAGAACAGGGTATAGCTTGAGCAGATATCTGCATCACCTGTACTATGATGTATTTAACTAAAAATATTGCTCAAAGGCTGCTGACAATAGCCTCAAATATGTTGTATTTCTAAGCTTTGATGATCCTAATTAGGTTTTATTGATATGCTTCGTAGATTTTAATCCAAAGACATTACAAGTGCATTCTCTGTCTAATACCAAATCACCTGGAATTAATTTTTCCATCAGTATTGAAATAGAAAACAGCCATTAGTTCGATGGGAATATCCTCTACTGGTACTAACGGAAGTACAATTTAAAGTTGTGCAGGTACACCTTCGCGTTTGTGTCAAATGTTAATGTGATGTTATTTATGTTTTGCTTGTATGTCCTGGATATTGTAACGCACAAATTGACTTGTAATCACTTGTAAAAATCTATTGTATTTCAAATCTTGCTGCAATTAATTGTATCTTAATGTTGCGTTGTTTCCATGTGTATCAAAACAGTAATAGTAAATCAGTATTTATCGTACAGTTACGATCGATGGCAGGCGATACAGTTGATCTGAAAGAGATAGAAATTAATTTTAAGAGAAATGTTTAAGATGCAGGGCCCTGTATTGGTTGTCACTGTCTTCTGGATTAAATTTAAGATAGGAACTTGATACCCAAATTAGGCTACAAGTAATGATAATAGATGTATGCTGTTAGTGTGATATGAACGCAACATTTGCCCGCTGATTATGAAAAGCTGGAATAAATATAAAACTCACCCATCCAGTGTTTCTTATCCTTAGGTGCATGGTCTAATCCGCTGTGCTATTTGTGTCCATACCTAAGAATGAGTGGTGCAGCAACAGGCGCGGAGCATGTGCCCCCCCCCCCCCCCTCCCCCTCTCCATTGAATGGTAGAATAATATAAATAAATAAATAAATAAAAGAGAAAAAAAGAGGGGGAAAAATATAAATAAAAGGATAAAGAGTCATTAGACCCCCCCCCCTCCCAATGATGCCAGCCCCATCCCCTCCCTCACCCCCCCCCCCCCCCCCCCCCCCCCCCCCCCCCCCCCCCCCCCCCCCCCCCCCGGGCGTATGGTTTTTTGCATAAAAGTAACTACAGTTATATTATTTGTATTTTGTTTATCCTTCTACTCCCTTTTACCTAAAGAGACACACTCAATAAAGTATTTATTGAAGAAATTGTAATATCACTATTATATGTGCCAATCCTTAGCAAAACTTTATAAATGTAGTTCATCTTTATGCCTGCATAGAAAAGTGTGCTAGTTCCAGCTATGTTTGTGCTTTCAGTTGTAAATAGAAAATATTTAGACAGTAATTTATTCTTTAGTTAATATTTATTTTATATCACATTTATTTGCTGCCTTTTCTAGAAAATGCTTTTAACAAATTTGCTCATATTTCATCTCATGGGGCCCTAAGATTATCAAAAGATTTATTTGTGTATTTAAAATATATGAAATTTCATCCTTCTGAAGGCCTTAGTTAAGAACATGTTTAAACATATTTGGACATTTTTTATCAACTTCTTTGCATAGTATTTGTGGGTCTGACTAGAGTTGAGTCCAGGGACCTGTTTCACAAGCCTTTTTCCAATGACAAATGACAAAAATTAGTGACAAATCTGTTGATAACCAATCAGAAGCAAGGATTTCACTAGCTTATAACAAAGACTGTCATTTGTCACTGATGACAAGTTTTGTGAAACACTCCCTTGATGTATGCCAATTCGACAAAGGAAGGTTCACCATCATTTCATACTTGAATAATTTTTTTGTGTGGATCAATTACCATAATGTTATCAATTTGAATACGAATAGGGTGGGTTTACAATTAACAGAGACAAAAAATTGTATAACAACATCAGATTTAGTTTTAGTTTTGTACTCATTGTAGATGGCCATTCAAATATAACATGTTTAAAGGGAAATTTCACCCTGATTAAATTTGTATATAATCAAGTGTAAGGAGATAAGAAAAATGAGAGAAACAGATCTGTGAAAGTTTGAAGGAAAACAGTTAAAACAAAACGGTCTATGCATTTATTTAGTAGTTGTAGACAATCAAATGAAATTGGCAACTCCGTGACCTACCTTTTACCAACTCTCACATTGGCAATGTATGAAGAAAAATCATAAATTTCCTTTTTTTTTTGGTTGATGAAGGGATAGATCTATTTCTAAAAGATATCTTTGAAAATATGTTTTTTTAGAGAGAAAATAAAAATTTATGAATTTTATTAGTAATAAACATATGAAAAAGTTTTTTCAAGGAATGTCACAGAATTGCCAATTTGCATTTGATCAATTACGAATTTAAAACAGTACTTCATATCGGATTTTCCATTAAATTTACTTGATCCGTTTCTTTAATTTTTTTGCTCTCATCAAAACCAACTTAATAAGGGAGTTTACAGGTACGATCTGCGCATGGGCAGATAAAGGTCATTTGTACCAAAAAGGTAAAACCCACAGAGATGAATACTGGATATGCGCTCATGAAAGTTATGTAACATTATTCATTTATGCACCAACGGTACATTCTATGATACGCAGGTGGAAGTATTCTTTTCAAGAGGGCAAACAAAAGGTATTCATGAAGCACATCTAGGACTTTGGCAGTTATTATTAGATATGCACAATGTGGAACTTCTCCATGTGTAAAAGATCTGTGGTTATTTGGGGTCATTTGTACCATGTGCTATCTGTAAACTCCCTTATAGAAGGTAAACTTCCGCTCTCAATAGTGGTTGTGTGAGAATTGAGGTATGTTCATATTCAAAGCCCAAATCTATAAACTATTGATTGAGTAATATTTTAGGATCCTGAACACATATTCCATGTTTGTTTTGAATCCTTTTATAGAGCAGGCTTTGCCTCAGTGTGGATGTAAGTTTATGGCAGTTATATACATTTTTATTATGTTTAATTTATACCATGAGAGAACTAATGGATTTTTTATAGTGGAGAAATGAAAGGAATATATAGTGAGCTCTTATAAAGAGTATAAATTTTATAGTTTCTATGTTTGTTTTGTAAATTTAAATGCTTTTCGGGCTCTGCCCCAAATTATACTGTAAATTTATTAAATTATGTATTTTTATATGTGACATTGGTAATTGTAAAAGGTACTTTTAAGGACAGAAGGATGAATAATTATTTTTGTATCCTTTGCATTTTGACCATAGTTTGCACTGAGCTAAACTATCTTTTTTTAAATGAATATACCATGTCTTCTGCAGAATAAATGAAGTGCTCAATATTCTTAAAGTGTTATTATAAATACTTTCCAGAGGCGGTTTCAATACCTAATTGTATTAGAAGGGATATAAAGGGCCTATTAATATCATCGTGCGGACCACCTCTCTTATGAGTATTGAGTAGCGTTGTAAATTCACATTTCATTGTTAGAGTTCCCCCCCCCCCCCCACTCCCTGTTTCAGTGCCCCTCTCAATGGGTAGACAATGGTGAAATATGTCATATTAATGTGATTGTACTTTATATAGAAGTTATCTGCACATTTGAGCATTTTGTTTTCTTACACCAAGTTTCAAAGTATTTGTATTTTGGACGACAGACTGTCAAAAATCTACTGAGTAAGATTGAAAATTTATAAATGTGAATAAGAAATTGAAGCACAGGGTCCTTGACTTTCTACTTTTTGAATGACATTGAAATTAGAACATAAGATTATGAGGTAAAATTAACAGAATATCAAAAATTCTGGAAAATAATGTATTGATTACAGTGCAGAATATAATTGGAGATTGTTCTCCAACTATAACAGTAATGTTGTCTTTTTGAAACTATGTATTCATCATCGTTTTTTTGTCTCTCTGCAACATGTGCAAATAATCCTTTTGAGCGCTTGTGCAAATGTTGATATGTGAATGGAATTCTAAGCTGCATACTGCATATCGTCTCTTGATAGTAAAGGCTCGTTCAGATATGGCGATGTAAATAGCCGCAAAAATGCTAATGCTCAATGGCTAGTGCGCGCAACAAAGGACGTCTGCTCATTCGCTGAGCCCTGGGTTATTAGATACAGAAATGTTATGAAATTAAATTGTAAGTGCATGAAACTTTACGTCATTAAAGAAGAAGAAAAGAAGAAAAAAAACATGATTTTGCCACATATCTGAATGAGCTTTTACAAGGGCATTTTTAGATATTATCAGTTTGAAAGCAGAAAGGTGCTAACTCCTATCATTATACATTTAGTTAGGTAATGCCCTTCAGGCTCTCAGCTAATGCTATACTAATGAACTGCTAAATTGCCAAAATAAAAAAAATATTCAATTTTTATTTATCAGTATTATGCTTCATTTCAGTGTGATAAGACTGTACCTTGTGTGATATATTTCCTTGAATATTTTTTGAAAGTGACCAGAAGGGCGTTATATCTGTTTGGAGCCAGAAGGGTGTTAACTCTGTGTTAAAGTATATGAGTTAACGTCCCTCTGGATCCAGAGAGAGACAAATTATAGTTTGCTTTCATGAAGAAAAAAACTGCTCATAAATTGAAATCATGGAATTATATGTTATGCAACACTTTTATGATTTGAGATGTAATCAATATATCATTATTTTTTTATTGAGATGGCAGATGATTACCGAATGTTGGGATTAAAACAGTGTGATATTGAATGTGGACAATGTTGAATAATCATAAAAGAAAGTTTGGTATTGAAAGGTTCTTTCTGACTGCTTGTTGTACAAAATCAGATCACAGGTAACAAGTTTTTAAATAATGTAATATTTTTTTAATTCAACCTTTAAATATGAAAGGGTGGTTGACTATGGAGTAGCTTGTTCAAGCTAACTCAACATAAGTGAAACAATGTCTTTTTGCTTTAGTTACAGTTAACAACAAAATTATTCATACCACTTGTAATATTTTGTTGTTGTTGTTGTAACTCAAGAATGAAAGGTTGAATGAGGGCCTTTGTTGAATACTCTCTTATAAAAAAAAGAGTGAATTTTCACTCTATTTTCACTTTCTTGGGAGTGACGTCCGTGATCACTTGTTTAGGAGTGAACATTGATTGATTTTAGAGTGCTCTCTAATAAGAAAAGAGTGAATGTTCATTCTATTTTCACTACATTTTCACTCTCCAGAGGAGTGACGTCCGTGATCACTCGATTTTTTTTTTAGAGAGTAGCTTTAGAAGTAAGCTTTGATTATTATGCCACATTCTCAAGAAACAGAAATCAAGACAAATTTATTTTTCACATACTTAACAGAATATAAATCTTGATAAGGGTGTGAACAATTTAGCCGTTATTAAAGTGCTATATTTATTGTACATGACATTTTCCCTGCATACTCCATGATTTTCAAGGGGCAAAACACAATTTGTCAAATAAAATATTGTATTGCAAAGCATCGTTTGCCATCGGATTTGGTGCCTCGTCTTTTTAATGGTTGTGTGATATTGTCAGTTTGGTGCAAGATATTTTACAAGCATAATGAGAGCGAGAGATGGAGGGAGTAAAGAAATGGTAGGAAAGAAGAAACAGGAGAGGGGAAGTAAGATGGGATTTAAAAATATATATATAAAGGTATTGTTTAACAATGGAAAATCTGATATGCATGGGCCTACGTGTTACAGGCCTGATAAAACCCAATTTAAATCGGTTTCCC